TTAAATTTATCAAATGTTATATATTTTTATTATCAAATATTTTATTTTTATTATCAAATTTGTGTATAATTTTTAAATATCAAATAATATAAATTTGACTAAATAGTAAAACTTCATATATATTTATTAACAATTTTTCAATTAAATAATTTAATTTAAACTAATATTTAGAAATACAGTTATGTCTATATTTAAGAACCAAGTTGGAATTATAGTAATTTTTTGAAAAAAATGTTCTTATTAAAAGGTATTCTTATATAAAGGTTTTTTCTATAAGTTTAATAGTAATTGATTTTTAATGTAATTTTCTAAAAAAAATTTTATATGATGTTCTTTTATAAAGAATTTTTTTATAAAAAGTTGACTGTATCTTTTTTTCAAGTTAACATTTTCCAATTTACAACTATGACATCAAAACTATAAAATTGTTATTAAAAACTAAAAACTTAAGTAATAATTATAATCATATTAACTTGAGTTAATATTTCAAAATTTTTATTTTTTATTTTATTTTTTCTAATTTCAATAAAAACAACTTCATTGCATGACATATGATTTTTTACATACTCAAGAAAAAATAAAATGTTGTTTTCAATTACCAGATAAATTGCAGAGGTTAGGATTTAAGATAGCACTACAAAGAGAGTCTAAGGATTCTTCTAATAAAGATGCTTTAATTTTTAATACTAAATGTATTATGTCAATACATATTTGATTAAGCACAAAAAAAAGCATTATTATTATGTGAAACAAAATCACAAGTAAAAAAAAAACAACAAAACATAAATACATTACCTTTTAATCATTAATTTCTGATCTCCTTTAGGGAATGTGAGTGCACAAAAAACTTTTCACGTAAAAATGCATAAACCACGAGTTAGTAACAATCAGCAGGTCATACGAATTACACTATGAAGAAGTTCGAACTCATTTTTTATCCTATCAATGTGTATTGCACTCAAATAACATTGTTTAGATGACTCGTCTTACATTTCGGTATGAATTATTTAACAATATATATATATTGTATAAATATATCATGTTAGACGCGCGAGTTTTTTTGACAATTCTTGCTTCTGAATACCTTTCCATCCTTCTCTTTTTGCGCTGGGCAATTAAAATTTTTTTTGTATGGTTGACACACAACTGCGTGATTATTATCTGATTATTACTACGTAGTGACATTTTTGAAATAGACAATAAATTTGCGCATATATACTTACCGCCCACTTTATTAGAGCTTCACATATAAAGATGAAGTTGTGCATGTCTGCCCAATCTTTTGGAAGATTAAAATGATCCACTTCAAACAAACTATATGTTCCTGATAATCGAATAAAATTGAATTAATAAATTAATGGTCAATTATGAAATCAATTTCGTATATTAAATACCACGAAAATCAAGAATTGTTAGGGAGAGTTCGGTTTTATAAACGGTGACACCATATACTCGAAGATTTGTGCATATTTGTCTTTTTTCTGAAGCCTCTGATACAATTACAGTATATTATTAAACAAATTGTATCATGTTTTTGATCTTTTTCCGTTATCTATATTTTTATCATTTTTCGCCTCCGGTTTTGTTCTCTCCATGCAAACAATTTGATAGTTAGAAACATCGTTAAGATATCCAACGCCATGACCTTGGTCTTTCCTTGTAAAGGAATTTCACCATTAATAAAGAAAAATGTAATAGTTCAAAGAAATCAAAAAGGAGAAAGAATGAAGACGCTCACGACTTAAATTATGTAATTTATATTTGAAAAAGTCCATAATTAAGGTGTGTATAAATTGGTTGAGATAAAGTCTTTCCAAAATCGTAACATCTCTCAAAGTGTTATGTGCATCCAAAGATGATTCTTTAAAGCTATACATGTGTTTTTTGTTAGTGATTGACATCATTACTACTTTAAAAAAATATTTCCATCCAAACTTTTAAATTAAAATTGTCCAATTGTCCAATTGTCCTAATGATTCTTTCGTGTGTTGTAATAATTCCAGGAATCCTTTTCGCTAATGACAAATTTTCGAATTTATTTGCACCATCCTTGTTTTCCATGATCGGCGCTAAAAAAGTCGTTGAGGAAATTATGAATTTCATCTGTAATATAATCTTTGACGATTTCGTCAAAAACTTCATGCAAGATGTCTTCTTGCAATTGTTGTTCCAAAGAAAGAGACAGTTCTTAACGTAGTCTGAGGTCCATGAAGGGACAGTTATTGAATCTTGAACGATATAATTTTTAGAATATCTTACTCAGCTGGCGTTGCTGATATATCGCAATCCAAAATGTCATGTACAATTATCTATTTAAAAAAAACCAAACCAGATTAATAATTTTTTCCTACTTAGACTCATATGCAAAAAAAGTGTTTATCTACATATTCTTTCCGCTTATATTACCTCGTTGCTACATTCCTCTTTATCGTCAGCGCTACCATAATTGTTGCTATCGTTATTATTTCTATTGTTATTGCCTTCCTCATTCGTATCGTCAGTGCTATCGTTACTATTGCAATCTTCTTCCTTATTATCGTCATCGATATGCAGAATAGTAATTAAAAACTTTAAATACGCATTCGCAATTGTAAAAAGCCCAAAATATGAAGATTAGCAATGCATTTTTTCTTTCATATTCCTAGCAAACGCGTTTAGTTCTCGATGTACTTCTGCGTTCATTTCATAAATTTCATAAATAAAATTTTTAGCAAAGATTAGTGTATTTGCTTGACAAACTTTAATTAATGTAGAGGTGTTCCGTTGTTAACACAACAGCCGGCCATCCCTTGAGGATGACTTGCCAGCTACTGACTTCTGATAGAACAAGACAGTCTACCGCGGACGCTTTGCGTACCCAACAGAACCCAACAACTTTGTTTCCAAAATCAGTCTACCACCCACGGACGATGACTTGCCAGTTTTACTGGCTTCTGATAGAACAGGACAGTCTACCGCGGACGCGTCATTTGTTCTTAACAAAGCTGTCGTAAAATATGGAAAAGAAAGAATCAAAGAAATCAAGAAATCGCGTTAGAAAAAACTCGGAGATGTTTATATCATTAAAATCAGATCACGTGAAGATGCTCGCCACAATTAGGTTCGAGAAAAGATAACAGAAAATGATTAACGAAATAAATGTTAATTCATTTTACACCACATTCTTTTTCCATTCAGAAATGAACCAAATTACGTATAAAATTCTCAATTTAAAATTGATAAAAGGATATAATGGTGAAAAAAATTACTATCTCAATTGCTACATGAATCATCTGCATACAATCCGAATAATAACGGTAAAGGGGTATATGCATATATAGCCATCTTGGAACGAATGTGCCGGCTCACGCTGTGACTGCCTTCTGTAATGATCATTTTTCGTGCAATTAAGATTACATGGGTTTGCTCCCTTGGGGCTCTACGAACAAAATCCCTGTCACATGCATGAATCATAATCCTAACAGTTATAAAAACATGAAATAAATAATAAACAATAACTTTATTGGCATTTCTACAGAAAGAACGGTATGCAGGTAAATATGTGCGCATATTGATATTGTTGTGGGAATAATAGGGAGGTGAACGCGATAATTGAGACGCGTCGCGTAATATTGGGGGAAATGATGTAATTAGTTAGTCATAGCTGTAGCTGTGGTGGACGCGTCAACAAGATATGATAGTTTTACGTAGTTTGGAACGCATAGTTAATCATAGTCAGTCACAGTTAGAGTTAGAGTTTTGGAATACTCTTCTGTTTTCTCACGCTTTAGTAAATAAATGCTACAATACCTACATCCCATAAATTAAATGCTTAAATAATAATTAAATCAAGTTAAAACTGGCTAAATATATATGAACTAGGTATTAATAACCTAATATAAGTAAAAATAAAAAATAATACAACTGAAATTTCTAATAATACTATATAATCCATATACAGTATTAAAATTAATTATAGATTGATATTAATTTGAAATCATAAATATGACCATATATCATTTCTATTTTAAGGGATTGATTTTAACAATCTTTTTTTTTGAAAAAATCCCCAAAATTGTTAAACGTTATAATGGAAATTGGAAATAGAAGTCAATACGGAAAATCGGTTTTACTCAACGTATCGAAATTAAAATGAAATCAAAAAGCTTTGCATATACAGTATGGTATGTACATACTGTCTATAATAACCATTTTAAATTGATCGTCATAATCATTATTTGTACTATATATTTGCCCCATCTGATTTTTATTTCTGTTATTTATTTATATATTTTTAAAAATAGAAACTAAAAGTTCATTTAAATAACAACCTTTTATTTTCACAATTACATCCAAAGACATTGATTAAAACAATACGTTTAACACGGATGGATGTATGATATCAGAATGCTTCGATAACATTTAAATCGTGAATTTTCCAATATGCAAATTCTTTTGGCAACGCAGGTGATAAAGATTAAAAAATGTTTTACGAATTTCACAAATCTATGCACAGTATATACATTTATACTTTATCGAATAATAATTAATATTACGTGCGTCTATATGTTGTACATCTTTTTTGATTTTTTTAACCATTTTTAATTTAAATTAAATGTGAAATTATTTAAAATCATACAATATGTAAAAATATTCTTTTGACGGCTATCAAATCAAGACCATAACATAAATCCAGGTTTTATGAATGTGATTGTAAATATTCGTGGTCAAAGCATCAGCGGAAAAGAAGGATGGCTGATAGCGGACGATATTCTCCGAGGGAATATGGAACTGTTTCAGTCGTAATACACCTTATGATTTTATAAAAAAAACGAGAATTGATTTTCCATCTAGAGTTATATCATATAAGTGTATAGATGTTCTTACATCAAATTGTACGGGAATATGGATAAGTATTTTTAGTTATCGAATTAGAGGCCTTTTCGTTCCTCCATTGTTAAGGCTTTATAGGGATTTTCATTACGTTTCAGAAAAACGGATGACCGAGTGTGATCGCCGTCAATGTTTTTCCAAATTTGAAAAATGTTTTAATCCCAAAAAATGATGAACCAAAACTTGCGGAGTGACGCAAGAAGGAAATCCTTAATAAAATATGGCTCCCGAATTTATCAACGCATGAAGGAAATCCATTCATCACGCTAACGGAGAACTGTCGTTCTCCCCTTAAGGATCGAAAAATGCCAAAATTTCAAATTCAGTTTGTCCTAAAAAGGCATCATATATACATGAATTAATTCCCCGTTCAGCGTGCATTCATTTAAGGTTCATGACGAACAAACGTATATTGAAATGCGACGTACCTTTATTCTAAGCTGTGTTTATTTAACACGTCTTTTTTTTTATTCGTCCATGTGTTGTTGATGTGTACATCCAACACCTAAATTGTTGTAACATTTAATAAATACAGTATGAACATATGAACATGCGTCATCGACCAACCCCTAGAAATACGTATTGCGATGGGCAAATGAATGTATTATGCGGTTGGTGGTCAAAAATTGACGTGTGTCTGGGAGGCACACGTGGATTTTTTTTTTCATAGACATACGTAAGTGAATGCATAAAACACAGATGTTTGTTTTTCTTGAATGAAAGCGTGAGGTTAATCGTGGTTTTTACGGGCAGCTACGGTGACACCCGACTTTTAACAGCATGCGTGGGAACATGTTTGATCACAAAGAAATAACCTTAAAATCGAATATGGTCATCATGAAATTAATGTAACATGATAGAAAAAAAAAGTATAAAATATCGAACGGATTAAGCATTCAGCGATAACACCCTACACAATTGTCTAAAGGAGGAACGGATCAAAAACAAATAGCTTCACCACTACTCTGAATTTGAAGTGCAAGTCAGCTTCGTCACATTTTTTTCTTACAAAGCATGTCCTACGCGGTTATCCCGGAATCGACGGACAATATCAAAGCGTATGCATATGATTTTTTTGGGGGGGGGGAGGGGAAGAAATTAGATAAATTGCATGGTCTCATATTTGCACATTCATGTTGAAGAAACTCACCTTCTTACCATCCTCTTACAGGTTTCTGTACGATGTGTTTGGAACGATCGTTGACTGGCACGCGACTGTAACCCAGGAGTTAACCTCATTTGCCACTCTAACCTCAACCCGTTTCCCGATAAGCGTCCAACTCACCTCTAAGAATTGGAGCGAATTCGCTCAAAAGTGGCGTCGCAGTTACTGCACTCGTGTCAAGAAGTCGCTGTCAGGTGAGCTCCCCTTTATCACCGTGGACAAGATAAATAGGGAAATTTTGGATGACCTACTCAAAGAGTTTGATATCCCTCAACACTTATGGAGCGAAGATGAGATGGAACAGGTGACTATGGTTTGGCACCGGTTGGATTGTTTTGAGGACAGCATACCAGGTCTGACGAGATTAAGCAATAAATACATCAATGCCACTCTGAGTAATGCTAATGTGAGGTTATTAGTGGATTTAAAACGACACGCGGGATTGCACATGTTGGATTACATGTTCTCTGCCGAGCTTTTTAAAGAGTATAAGCCAAAGGAGGAGACATATTTGGGAGCATGTAGGATGTTATCGTTGAGACCCGATGAGGTCGTGATGGTGGCTTCACATCCGTACGATCTGATCAACGCGAAACTGCATGGGTTGAGAACCGTTTACGTGAGAAGAAAAGAAGAACTGGATTGTCATGAAGACAATGGGCCGATTAATGAAGATGAGTTTGATTGGGTGGTGGACAGTTTAGAAGAATTGGCCGAGGTCATGGGGTGTTAGTCTCACGGCAATACGTGATGTAATCATAGTATGTAATATATTATCTGATACCTGTATCTATTTAGCTTAAACTCGTGTACCAATTTTAATTGAAAAATAATAATTAAAAAGAAAAAAGTTTGAAATTTCGTATCGCTTCGAAGAGCCTCGTAAAACGAAACTACGTCTCAATGAATTAATTTTATTTTTATAATGGAAAGATGCACGAAACAATTATCTCCATTGAAGTATTTGATCAAAAGAGAATAATAATAAAGCTAAAAGAATGCACCGTTGAGGAAAATATTTCTTTTCATTCATCTTTCAGGTAAAGGCAGTTCCATTAGTCCCCCAGATAAGCTCCCCGAAATTTCCGACTAAATATGTGACCGCTTCCAAAACTCTTGGTGGTAAGGTTTGAGCTGCATAAGCAGGTAGCATTTCCAAGAATGGCCAGGTGACCTCAAACCAATTCTCGTAGAGTTGTAACTTGGCGATCACCGCAAGATTCCGGGGTGAAGAGAAAATAAGTCTGAACATGCTTATTGGTTGATTCGGATCGCTACTCATGGGTGTGTCGATCAAACCCGGTGCGATTACCGAAACCTTAACATTGTGACGCGAGGCTAGGTAACGAAGATCGCGTGCAAATGAAAGTAACGCGGATTTCGTTGTGTTGTAATAGATCATCTGCGGCACGCTGAAATGACCGACGACTGACGATACAACTATTTTCAAATGAATTTGTGTGTATTGTGAGGGCGGTTCAGTGGATCCCAAAGATAGAGGTACATACGTACTTGCAATTTGACCATTCCTGTTTTCTTTCATTTTTTTGAAAACTGTCATGACAGTAGCGACGGTACCATTGATGTTGACAGCGAAAAGTCTTTCCCACATATCTTCCCAGGTATCTATGTCATCATATTTAACACCAGTTTGAGCTGCGTAGCAACCATTTCAATGCATTAGCTCAATTTCCCAATCGTAGATCATCCATCCATGGTCATTGAAAAAACTTACCCGCGTTGGCAATTAGCAAATCAACAGGATTTCTATTGCAGAAGTCTTCAATGGTATCGACCAGAGCATCGACTCTCGAAATATCACAAGACATGGTCTCGACTTTTGCTCCTCTCTTGCGACAACTGTCCGCCACCTTTTCCAAACGATCTAATATTTTTTATAAAGGAATGAGCAAGTATACGTCGTCGATCTCGTATTGGAAATCATTCTTACCCTCGTTTCTAGCCAAAAGTCCTAAGGTGACGCCAGGAAGTTTTGCATATTCCTCGGCAAACTTTTCTCCAATACCTGAACTATTTATTGAAAAGAAAATTGGCGGTCAAAAGAAGGATCCAGGAATAATAAACATTCATGGTAGACGTGATGTGCGCACCTTGCACCAGTAATGAGGACGACCTTGGGCCTCTCGCGAAACAAGAGACCAGAAATCGATCGAGGAATATCCCAGATCATGAAAAAGGTGGCAGCAGGAATCGAAACAAAGGTGGTGATGAACCAAGCGATCCATGCTTGAATGATTGGTTGTAAAAATGTTGGAACGGTAATAGGCGGAAGTACCATTTTTAGCAAACGAACGCAAATGAGATAAAGAAGTAGTTGATCCAATAAATAGTTGGGTATGTGACAAACGAGTTATTTATACCCATATAGTTTAATTTTTTTTTTTTCTGACATCACGGAAAAAAAAAGTTGTGAAATCATGATGGTGTAATGGACCGTGTACTCTAATTTTTTACAAGTTTTATTAGTCAATAGAAAGACACTCATATGAAAATTGATTTGTCATTCGTTTGGGAAGATTACGTAGAATCGCCCTTTTTTTTTCTTGCTTCTCCCCGTCATTGCAAAATTCGTTTGTCACATGATACGACTTCGGAGCGTAACAATTGCAACAAAATTCTTACGTAAAAATAGGTCGGGATTCTTTTCGGACCCTGGTTTACGTGTCACATGAATTTCGATTTATCTAACTCTAATGTTGAGTGTGATGAACTGTAGTAATTTTACTATAAAATAATCTATCAAACTCTAACTTCTAAGCCGTGATAATTCGACGAATTGTTGTATCATTATAAAGACGCTGATCATTGTAGAGAACATCGTCTTACCGACTCCAAGTTGTGCTGAACTTGACATATTTACGCCATCGGGTAGTACCGGCGTGTCATCTTTATTATCTTTATTGTATGAGTTGGATGTTATGTCGACACTTGGTCTGTAAGGATTCGGATTTTCTGAACTCTGGTACCTAGGAGAACAGAAAAATGTTTTTAAAACGTTACGAATACAATCAATTTTGCCGAAAAATGGTCTTCATTATATACCCCAAGGTTTCAAGAAACAACTTTAATTTCGGACCGATCGGAGATCCTGAATTTCCGGATGCCGCCACCAAGTTTGTCAAACTGACTCCACGATCCGCTGAATACTTCATCAAGAAATCAGATGTTTTGCTATAGGTTTTATAGTTGAAGTGCATGATGCTGGAGCCACGTCGGTAAGGTTTTAAGCTGGTCTCTAGGATGATCGCTTCGCTAGATTTGTTTGCCCCGCGTGGTAAGAATCCCAATGAATAAGGTGTGATCGCACATGTCATCATGTTCAAGGAAAGTACATATTGCGACGAGGATTTGAATTTCGAAGAGAATTCATTCATATCAAGAAATACTGTTCCAACTCCCCCCGCAAATTGATTCAGTTGACTCGTGATGATAGATGATATCCTCCCACCGGTTGGTAAGTATATCATGTATTTGTCAAAAGCTGCTTCCACGAATCCATTAAATGTCAGTGACGAATCAATCGAATTTTCTGACATGTATATCTTTGGGGTCATGATTGTCGGCACACTGTTGTTGAAGTGATCATCAAAACTAGAATAGAGCCCTAGGCCATGGATGTACTCGTGTAAAATCACATATAGAAAATCTTGTTGGCTACTCGTTATAGGTGGATCCCCGTCGAACCAAAAGTTTGTCACTGCCGAGTTGAAAAGTGCCTTGATGTCAAATTCGGAAAATTCGGGATGTCTTTGAAATTGAAATTGCTTGACCAAGGCTTGCGGGTATAATCTTGTGAGACCATCATCATCTTGCAGTAGGATCGAGCGCGCTGGAGAGGCTCCACCTTTGGTAGGAAAGAAAAAACTCCCGCTTACCACTAACGCTAATGCACCTAGTCTTTCTAGAAATTAGCACATACCTAAAGTTATTGTTCCTGTATTCCCACAATCCCCCATTGTTGTACAAAAGTCCACGAAGCTGGCATTTACATTGATTGGTACATTTAACGTCAACGTCGATGATATGATCTTTCCCGCGGTCTCGAAAGCATTCTTGACCTTGGTACACAGGATTGTGCTATCTGTGCCGCACGTAAAGTTCACCACAAACATATTCGTTGTGTTTTGTGATGTCAACAAATGTTCATCTATGGATTGTTTTATGATGGGACATTTGATTGGTATTTGGTGAGTTCGATTCAAAGGATCCGGGTGATCATAGCATTGTGTGAGTGTGTTGGATGAAAGTGAATAAACAAGTGTGGTGAATATGGTTATTATTATCAATGAGCTTTTTATTCTAGTTACCAACATTATTTAAATTCAGAAAGGGTAGAAAGGAGGGGAATATAACAGTTCTTGATTATGATTGCATCTATTTGAACGAATTTCGTGGTTGCCGGAATTGCAGAGTAAATGTAAAGAAACTTATCGATGAATACATCTAGCATTCCATTTTCTTTTACTGCATTTCCTTTTAGGTCAACCCGAGAGCGAAACAAGTTTCCGTGAAGTAACAGCAGCCTTCGTGATCGCGTATAACATGTTGCATACCATACATGTTAATTATTTATATGCACCACGGAGAATGATCTGCTTCCTGGTGACTTGATGTTTCATCATTAACTTGTTACAGTATTTGTGAACGAAAATCTCTTTATAGAATATGCATTTCATAATTAAGAAAGCCCCATATGTGTTTAGTAAAATCGAAAAATTCAAGTGTAACATTATGTTTTTTTAAAAAAAAAAAGTAAAAAAAGCATTCTACAATAATAACTGACGAAAAATAAAGACCGTACAGCCTTCGTTCACAAATAATTGTGACGCAAGAGAGAGACATAATACCAGCAAACACAAATATACCAAAACATAATTCGTGAGAAATGACTAGCTGTTTTAAGAGCAACGTTGAAATTCTTGCGCCTCGATCATCATTCGCCGAAAAAAACGTTTATTTAGTCGGCGTTCACTATTTTGTTTAGTATGTGACACCTTCAATTTATGGTTATCCTATCGGGTGCGCTTTCTTTCTCTCCCTGATACAGCATGTTGGATACTTGATTAAATGGAGTTTTAATAATATCCACATTAATGATTGAAAGTCACATCCGGAAAATTGTCACTAAAAGATTATTCAAATCTAATGTATACGGTTTCTTTGTTCTATTTTTTTCTAGTTCAACTACTCGGAGAAATATAAATAACCGGTTTAGTATATAAAAATTGAATAATATGGCATATTACAGTTTATTTGTCTACCACTGTACAGAGCAATTACACGAAAAGAGGCATGTCTATCTTGGTCGGTCACATGATACGTGTATATTTATTTTATTAAGACAAATAATATTATTCTATTTCTTCATTTTCTTTATATGGTTTTAGCCAATAATACTATACATTGTATCCAATGTACCTATTGAAATACATAATAATTTGATAAATAAAAATATTTTATAATAATTTTTAATTTTTTTTTTTTTTTTTTTTTTTTTTTTTTTTTTTTTTTTTTAAGGAAGAAATGCGATGCGTCGCAAGGTTTTTATTATATGACAGGTCAATTACATAATAATTATTTATATTACATATATCACTTTATATAACAATGAAGATGTACCACTAAGAACTCATACAAGTCAATACTATGTATTCTATACAGATTATTCCTCACATCCCTACTTTACTCTAGTGCCCAGAAATCTATCGCTTAACAATTTCACTAAGTAACACTAGGGATGGGACCTATGGGGTGTAAAATGCCTATCACTAGTTTAAACTACCTAACCCATATGGTCCAGTTTTGCTTAGAAGTATCTTGATTAAGGAGGTTAGTTCAGATGTTTCCTCACTTTATCGTCTAAACTTCAGATCGTACTCTTGTTACCTTTGACTAGTCTTACACAAGACTTTTGATCCTTCTCACCACCTGTGGCTGGTTATTTTTCAAACCAATTAGGCTCTACACCGGATTGGGATATTCTAGGCTAGGGCTCTAACCACCTATAATAATTTTTAATATATTGTTAACTGAAAAATAATTTGTAAATTATATTACAATTATATTACAATAACTTTGATAAATAAGTAATAATATTATTTTTAAAAAAAAAAATAATTTTTTTTGCTACTAATTTTTTGTCAATTCAAAAAACAAATGTATTAAAAAATTTTTTTATTTCTTTGTAATAAAGTTTATATATATATTTTTAATAATATTACTATCTAAAGACTTTAGTTTTTTTTTTTTTTTTTTTTTTTTTTTTAAAGGCAAAATACATTATATGTAAATTTTATTAACTTAGCATTGAAGTTACAATTATTACATGAAGAGTCTAAAGACTTTAGTTTCTTTTACTTGTTTTTTTCTTTCTTTGAAATAAACTTTTTATATTTTTGTAAATAGATATAAAAAAAACCTACCTATAAAATCAAAGACAAAAAAAATTTTATTAAAAAAATTTTATTTATTTTAATTTGACTTTAAATTTTTAATTATATTAGAATTTTTTAATAATAATTGATTTGAAATTCGAAATAATTAATTTATATATAACAAGAAATATAAATAATAAACATATATATTTATTTATATATTGTATCTTATACAATAATAAATTTGATAATGTTATTAAATATAATAAAAAAAATAAAATAATGAAATATTTATCTTATTAAAAAATAATATGATATTTTTTTTTCTTTTTTTGTATTAGTTTTTTTTTTTCAAAATTAAAAAAAATCTTATTTCAATTTAGTAAAAAGTTTTTTTTATTAATAATTATTATAAAAAACATTAAATAATAATTTTACTTAAATATAATAAAACTTGTTTAAACAAAATAAAAAAAACTCTTATTTATTTATTATTGATTCTTGAAAAATTTCCTTTTAAAAAGTACTTATTACTTTCTTAACATATCATCTATATCATAAGCTTAAGGACATAAGGACTTTAAATATTATTGTTATATTGGAATAAAACTTCTAGACAAAGATTAAACAAGTTTAAGAATCTTACTTATCTTCTGTTTGCATAGAAAAATACTTGTAGCAGTTTTCTTTTATGAACCTGTTTGTTTCTATCTTTTATTATCAATATCTCATTATTATTATCTTATAATTATATTTTAATATTATAAATCTACTTTTCAAATTATACTTAAGCAAAGTTTTTAAGTCTCTTGTTTGTTTTAACTCAACCTTAACTTTTTAATTATTTTTTATCTGACATACAGTATAATACTATGTCAATTTATTATATACAAAAATTTTTTCAAATACAAAGACCAAAATTGGCTTTACCCTTTCAAACAATTATTATTTTTTCAACAACAATCACAAACTGTCAACACAATATTATAACAACCAAAAAAGTTTAAATTAGTTTCAAATAACAATAACAACAATTTTATATTACACTACTTTAATAATCTATCTATCTAACTATAACAATAACAATTTTAATAACAATAGCAACTTTATACTATAACTTATCTAATTCTATTAATTCTTCCAATTCAAAAAACAATAATTTCATCATATTAATATAAAAAAACTAGACTTTTTATATATTTTATTCAACTTTTAATTTTCAACAATACTATTATTATAATAATTAAAGCTATTTATTTCTATTATTATTAGTATTTCTTACTAACCACTTATAATATCAACAATATCATTTTTCTTTTCAAAATATATTATTTCTATTTTTTACTCCTTGTTTCATATATAGTATCACTTACAGTATATATTAATAAGTACCAATTCAAGTTATAAGTTTGAAGGTCAACCTGAGAATTGTGATTATAGCACCCTCATATAATTTGATAGATTTGCATATTAGCTTTAGAAAAGTATTAACTATCCAATATTAGAACTAATCAAAAGTATATTAAGTATGTTAAAGGTAAAAAAACTCTCTCCTGATCGCGTCCGTTTTGTTAAAAATTTTCCTTTTATGGTAATTTTAAGCAAGAAAAAATG